ACTACTACTACTACTACTACTACTACTACTACTACGACTACGACTACTACGACTACTACGACTACTACGACTACTACTTCTACTACTACCACTACTACTACTACTACTTCTTCTTCTACTGCTACTGCTACTACTACTACTACTACTACTACTACTAACTACTACTACTGCTACTACTACTACTAGTAGTAGTAGTACTACTACTACTACTACTACTACCACTACTACTACCACTACAACCCCCACCACCACCACCGCCGCCACCACCACCACCACCACCACCACCACCTCTGCTACTACTACTACGACGACTACGACTACGACGGCTACTACTACCACCACCAAAACCCCCCAAAGGCGACTAAGCCAGCCTAGCTTCTGCGAGAACACCTTCCAGCTCCTTCACAGGCCTCTGCCCTCGTCACGACAAGCCCGGCGTGGAGAACATCACCACCGGTGACCTTCGAGAGGTTGGTGCTGACAGTGAAAAATTTGTAGGCGCGAATTTATCGAATCCGACACCACGCGAAAAGCTCGTGTCTAGGCCTAGGCACGGACGACCATCCCGTCGGACATAGAGTGCCAAGTAGGCAGAGCCTCTCAAAAGTCTGCAGGTCGATACGGTGATCTTCGATTGCGACACTCTGCCGACATTACGTTTTGAGTTGGATTCGAATTTAAATCTGAGATTTTTTGCAAACCAGTAACCAATTCCTGCTGCAACAGGACGGACTGGTTCTCCATGTTCAGGACAACCTGCATGAGAGGGCATGGCATGCGAAGGCCAAGGCGAATCATTCTAGTTTGCAGATGCACGATCCTCCCGATAACTTGGCCCTCTTCTTCGTGCCCTTGCGTAGCGAGACCCTCCGAGGATGGCATGGCAGAGAGTCAGATATAGATATATAATGATATATGCATATATATATATATACACATATAGAGATATTGAGAGAGATTCGGGCCGGGAGACCTGACAAGTCTCCTAAGCCCCGAAGTGAAGTGAAGTGAGATCGAAGATGACTTCGACTTGTCAGTGCAGGAGACGGACCTCAAGAAATCGACATCAGCATATGCTGCAGAGAATGTCCTGGCCCTAGCGCTACTGTCGCAAGTGACCAAGGAAGCATTTGAGCTGTGGATAGCCCTTCTCATCGTAAATGGCCTTGGCTCTACAGGTGCACATCATCAATGCCATTCTGGACGCTCGTCTGCACGCAAGAAGCAGAAGCCCAGAGCTTCAGGAAGACCAAACCAGCTCCCAAGCCCTGTGTGAGCTGAAGCCTGACAGCCTCGGCTCGGCAGGGAGCGGGGAAAAACGTCATCTTCGCAGACAGCGGCAACCGGGAGCCCTCCAGGCCGACGAACGCAATCCACCCCTCTTGCGATGCAGGCTTAGGGCCGTCCGTTAAGGCTTGGCGGCAGAAACGTTGGTTTTCGTTGCGCCAATTTTGGCAGAGCCATGCTCAGGCATATAAGCGATAGCAGCAGCAAGAGCAACAGTGTTAGTGCTAGTCGTTGTAATTGGCGTAGAAATGCAGGGTTTAGGAACAGCAGATTGCACAATGAATACTACCAGTGCGGCAGACTGGTAAGCCGATGCTGCTTTCAACACAACAAGATACAGCTTACAGAAGCTGGAATTCCAAGCGTGGCCAGGGCTGCATTCCGGAAGCAAATCAAAGATCGGGGCGTGCGCTCCGAGGACTCCGCGGAGCTTCAGGTGCGAGTGACGCTGAAGGGATTTCGGGTTCGAAGACAGTACAGTTGGGGGAGGGAGGCGTGTGGAACGTCACTGGAAGGCTTCAGAATTTCTATTAGCAAACTTCTCCAGTTGAGATCTTGTGCCGAGGTCTGCTTGCCTGTGGATGCCGCTGTCTGGTACATCAAGTCTCAAGGTGTGGGGAGTTGCACAGCAGCCTTGCAGAATCACAGGTTGTCCTGCTTTCGTTGAGGTAGTCTTAGCGTCTCAGTGTCTCCTTCTTTGGCAAGGGCCTCTGTATGGCCAGACATCAGTCGGGCAGCTGCCGGGTCACCTGCACCGGACACGCTAGGCTAGGCTTGCTCCTTAAGGGACACCACGAAGAGGCAAACAAAGGCCGCGATCGCTTGAGACGTGCCAGGCTTCCAGAAACCGCTTGTGGTCTCATCCCAGGCCGCTGCATGTAGGCCAAGAGTTTGTCAATTGGGATCTTGATCTGCAGAGTATTGACACTGACGTGAATCTTGCAGCTGCCTGCCCGATTGCAAAGTGGAGCCAGGAGTCGCTGTTCGAAGAGGCATGACCTATGCTGAGGGATTCCGCATGCTGTTTTTGCATTTCCGGCGGTGGTTGCGGTTGTTTGGTTGCTGTTGTGGCCTCGCTGTTGTTGCAATTCTAAAGCAACTATTGTTCCTTGCTATCTGCAGCAAGCCTGAAGTCTTCAGGGGATCAATCTTAACTCCAGAACGTGGTGCGACTTGGTCGGCTGGGCGGGTGGGAACAAAACACCAGAACGTGATGGATTGGGAAGGGCAAGATTCATAGTTAGATTTGCAGGGCGAAGGAAGAAGCAACCTTGAACGCAAGAGGCACAACCGAAGCTCATGTCAAGTGTCCGCAGATGCAAGTCGCAGACCTCCCATTTTACGCGCGCCCTGCCAAGTTCTGCCAGGTACGGCTAGCTTTTCCCAGCTGCGTGTGTTTGATGGACAAGGATAGGCACAGGGCCGGCAGTTGCAGTGCACTTGCACCACGAAGCGACTGGCCCGAAAGTTCTTGAGCACGCCGGGGAGCTGGCAGGACGGCCATCTGCATCCGGAATTCCGCCCTGGAGCCATCCACGCACCCAGCAGCTTCACTGAAATGCTAACACTATACAGAAGTGATCTGAGCAATGGCACAACTCTTGTTATCCTTGGTGTACTGTGGCACTAAGTAAAAGTTTCGTGTCGAGGGCTGCACCACTGGGAGGAAGGATTCAAGCGAAGTAGAAGGACTCTGGGTTGGCTACAGTGCGCAGTCTAATCCCTCGGAATATTCTTGCAGTAGCAGTCAGAACGAAGGGACTCCCCAGGTGACGAAGAAGTTGCGGTTGCCCTTGCCGCCGTGCACGACGCCGACTGCGTTGCACCTGGGCAAGAGCTGCAGTGCCTGCTAAGCCAAAGCCATAGCACCTCACGGTGGCTGAAAGTAATTCGTATCCTTCGATGCAAGGCTTTGGCAGTGTGGTGCTGGTACTCGGTTTGCTCGAGGGTGCAGATGGCATGAAACGCCGAGCTTGTTGTCACAAGGGCTTGTTCCAGGCATCGTGGGCGATCGCGAGGTTGTCAGACATCCCAACTCAACGACAACATGTCTCATCAGGAGTGTCTGTCGTCTTCACTTCCAAAATCTAAACAGTTTTTCGTCCAAGATCGTACTGTGCTTCGTCTTCTCCAGACCATTTGGCTTGAAAACTGAAGAGGTGGGCCTGCCACATGCTCAACATGACCACTCCTGAATGCCCGAATGTCCCGTGCAACTGGAAGATTCTGTGCGAGGTTGCTTTCGCTGCACACAGCCTGCAGACCAAAGCGCTGCACTTCGAAGGAAGTCGTACTGAATCCCCAGAATCTCAGGTAGAAGAAGAGTCCATGCTCTAGTTCAGCACAAGTCTGAGGTACTTGGCACGCTGGCAGAGGCATTGGGGGGTAGATGAGTTTCGGTTTTCGCTACAGCTCACGTAGTGCAGTAAGACATATCGGCAGGGTCGGATCATGCTTCGTTGCCGCACACTCCTCTCGGAGTAGGGCCTTAAGTTGCATCTGAAACGCGAATCCGTGCACCGCATCGCTCCTGCAGGAATTGCCGGCTCTTGCAGCTGCTGCGATTTCTACAGTCTTGGGCACAGATGATGCAAATCCGCGCCTGGCAGAAGCCTCAGAAGCTTCTTCTCAGGAAGCCTCAAACCAGAAGTCAAAGGGCAGAGTGGCAGAGAGCAGAAGAAGTTACTCAAGTTGTGCAGCCCAGCACGTGTGCCCACTCGGAAGCTCGTGGCGCTTTACGGTCGGCGCCGCGATCCCAAAGACTGGAGGTGGTCGTTGCCGGCCAGCAGGCGCGCCGCAAGCTGAAGTCGGCAAGGCCCCGGCACAGTGCGAAGCCTCAGGGGTTTTGTTCAGGCAGGTTGGAGTGCCCGAAGGATCTCGGATCCTTCCAAGAGCCATCAGACATTTTGCATCCGTAGTAATTCTGGTAATTTAGTATTGGCAGCCAAAGAAACAGCAGAGAGGTTGCAGCCGTCGTAGTGGCTGTCGTTTGTCGAAGAAGGAGGAGTCGTCGTCATCATCAAAAGTAGTCGTAGTCACGGTCGTGGCAGTCCTTGCCGCCGGCGTCATCGTCGTGCGTTGGTTCAAGTAGTACTGGTGTCCATAGCAGTAGTAGTCGTCGTCGTCGTCGTCGTCGTAGTCGTAGTCGTCGTCGTAGTCGTAGTCGTAGTCGCAGTGGCAGTGGCAGTGGCAGAGGCAGAGGCAGAGGCAGAGGCAGAGGCAGAGGCAGTGGTAGTGGTGGTGGTGGTAGTAGTAGTAGTAGTAGTGGTAGTGGTGGTAGTGGTAGTGGTAGTGGTAGTGGTGTGGTACTGGTGGTACTGGTGGTAGTAGCAGCAGCAGGAGGAGCAGGAGTAGTCGCAGCAGCAGCAGCAGCAGCAGCAGTAGCAGTAGCTGATGTACTAATTGGGTGGCACCAGCAGAGCTATCCACTTACTTGCAGTTTCGGTTGTTTCATCTGGTGTGCTGTGTTCGTTTGGGCTCTGCGCAGCGACGTGAACTGATTTCGACATGCGTTGTGACGCGCATTAACGAGCCTGTGCTCCCGTTGCCCAGTTGTCCAAGTATGTAGATTTGAGTCTTGTAGTAGGGGCCCCCTGGGAGATGTAAGATGGTGTCGGTGTGGAAATGTTACCGACGGGAACCGTGGCGCATTGACTATGCCACTCAATTCCGCGTGTAGCAGTGATCAGTTCTTTGCTTGCTGGATGCACCCATCCTTGCTTGCCGAGCCCGAGAGTGAGTGCCGACATTAACTGCCGATAAGTTCCTCAAAGGTTCTATACCGTTTCCGAGTCACTGGGTCGAAGGGGTTTAGGGCAGTTTAGGGGAGTCGTAGTAGTCGGAGTGCCGGTCCCCTGGCTGTGTCTAGAGTCTAGGCTCCTTGTCAGGGGCACTGAACCCGACTCCTTCTCAGACTTCAGAGCCTCACAGTGCAAGTGTAGCCGTCACTGGGATCACATGTGAGTCACGTTTGCTTTTCAGGAGCTCCGTGACCTGCCAGAAGATTCTGGCAGGGGCTGGTGATAGCCAGGCTCGAATGAAGCTCTTTGTGCTTTGTCCAGTCCAAAACGCAACAAACGAGCAAATTCGAACATGTGGGTTACACTGGAAGCTCAGACTCCAACCTAGTCGTTGGGCTTCGGGCCATGACATGTCGTGATCGCTAGCGTTTGGCAGGAGTTTGTGGACATGACTTGGCCCTCCAGGCTGCTGTGCCTGGCCAGCACGAGCTTAGCGATGCTGCGACGAAGAACGAGTTGTAGGGTCTGCGCACTCATCGTAGCAGTTGTGTAGTCGTAGTACGCAGCACTCAGCAGCGGTGGTGCGTGATGGTGGTGCATCATCACCGTCTCAATATTACGACACCACTTGTGCTTTTCAACTACTGTGGGGATGGAGTTCCGAGCACAGTAGTCAGATCACCTCCTGCTCACGAGACCAAGGTCTGCCGCCATGTTTGCTCAGTTCGCAGTCGAGCCTTCGAAGAAGACTTTAGTGATAGGGAGGACCCCGACGGGTGCAGAATGGCGCCGTGCAGCTGGTTGTATGACTCACGGACTGCGATGTCGAGATTCATCAATGGGTTTGCACTTGTGGCATGAAGACAAACAGTTGCGAAGACGCATGTTGTGCGGGTTTTGTGATTGTGATGGCAGTGATGGTAGCGATGACTGCAATGAGACGACGATGGAGACAATAGAATAGAATTTACGATTACAACTACAACATGCATGAGAATGAAGATGATGATGCCGACCAGCAGGGGGAGGAAGAGGAGACTTCTGAAGACTATGATGCAAGTGTGACAGTACCAGCACGTGCAAGGTCCAAACACACTTATGAGTCAAAGCATCCTATGGGAGGAGTCTTTCCAGATCCGCAAGGTCCTGCCGCAGGGTATGCTTGACAGACTCGGGTGTGTGTCCATTTCTGTAAATGAGTTGCGGCGCTGTAGGTCTGTAGGCACAGGAATCTGATGTAGCAGTGGTGCAGCCTGTTCAAGAGTTTGAAGCAAAGCCGCATGATCCCTGACATGGAAACAGCTGAACTTTGGACTGCCCATGCATGCACTTGTACAGGCTACATGAGACACGAGACACAGCTGTTGCACCCGCCACTTGATCAGGTTTGCATACAGGAGCGGTGCATCCTCCTTGCTGGTTTTAGCTCCTTGTCTAGCAGCATGCATGCCGCTGTGAGTGTGCGGTGTAGCTGTCGGCCAATGCCGACGTGGAAACGAGCAGGCTTACATTACCGCAAAAGCATATTCACAGCGATGACGACGGCAATCAAGAGAAAGACTAACGACGGTACTGGTAGCTGGTAGAAATTGCAGCACTAAGGACAACCTCGTGGCGCAGCTCAACCTCACCAAGGAGAGAAACTTTTGGTTTAGAGCCCTTGCTGGTAAAGAATCGACAATACTCCGCTTGACTCGCATCAACCTGACTGCCGTAGACAAATCGGGGAGTGTGTTGACAAGTTCTGGTCCAGGAGCAGAGGCACGAGTACTTGCCCGACTGGGTTCTGCCCAGCCTCGGCGAGCTGCTTGAGCGCGAGAAGGACAAATAGGCCAGGCAAGCAGTGACAGGCTGCTTCTGTCTGGCTGCGCGGTGCCTGTGCACCGCCAATTTTCTATGGAGCTGCTGCCACTGTACAGACGTATTGTGCGACCCCACTGGCCTCGTGATTGGCGATGTACTCCAAGATGAGTCTGACTGACTGCAGCCCGATTGCTGGCAATGACGAGGCTTCGGTTGAACGGTTGGGTTCGTTTTAGTCGTGCCGGCTTGAGACGGCGAAGCTGCAGCTCAAGCTTTGAATCTCACTCCTCGCCCCACGCGCAGGAGAGCGTCACGAGCTCGGCAAATGAAGACACACCAGTCTGGGACATGCTGTGCTTCAATCTGTAAGTATCTGTTGAGTGTCATCTTGCTTCACTGCCGATCCGGGAGTCTCGTTTTTGTTCGCTCTCTGCTTGCGCGAAGATTTCGGTAGCATTGATGGCATGTTGGGCCTATAACAATTGCCTTGCCGTGGGAACCACGCGGGCAAGAAAATCTACATTGGAAGTGCGAGGAGTGCAAGTGTAAGTTTGTCTTGCGCCCCTGAGAGGCGGGGTTTGCAGGCCAGGTCTAGGTCGCATGGGACAGAGTCTCTGCGGCCCACAAGACTCCACTGCCACGTGTACCATGTCATTTATCATGATTTCAAAACGTGTGCGGTTTTGTTCCGCTTCGGCCGACATGTCGGCAAGACAGCATGATCTGCTGTTGGCCTTGATCGCAGATGCCCTAAGTCAAGCCACAATAAGAGTAGTGGGATCATGAAGAACTCCTGTGAACGCGTAGGTAGCTGGCACATTCCCAAACCGCACCAGTCGCCCACGAAAGACAGCGAGGTTCACGCAGCCAGAGTGCGAAGACTGATTGGGTGATCTTCGCGAAGACCCTTTCAAAAGCACGACCAGAAGCCATGGCTACCTCGCCAGACTCCGATGGAGAGCAGTCTTGCTGCATGTTCGCGCAGACTTGCTGGTCCTAGTGTCAGTGTCTGCTTGACTGAGGGGCGTGGTACCCCCGAAGGACCGGTGCCAGTGGGCCGTCCAAAGCCCGAGAAGTCTTTTGCCGCAGGAGCCTTCTGACATGACTCCTGAAGAGCGGTCGGCCTTTGCCGTCCGCTGCAAGGAAATCGGCAACCGAGCCTTCAAGGTCGCGATAGGGCCATGGCACGGCACGTCATGGTAGCTCGGTGGGCTCAGGGCGCCAGTTGCAGGCCTCGGAGTGGGACTATGCCATGCTGGCCTATCAGGAGGGGCTTCGATACTTGGCAGCTCGTCTGCAGACTCTGAATCCTGCAAAGTGCAACAGAGGCAAAGAGTCACTGCCCCACACCATATTTCAGGAGTATGTGCCCCACGACCATGAAATGCAGCCCATCCCGGGGCTGGACCATGGTGGACAAGAGCAGTTAGACAAGGAGAGCTTCCGATGACTAGTGGCCGTGCCTGGCAGATGGTGAGATCAAGGATTCAAGGAAGCCTTGAGCGAAGGACATGTCTTTGGCCTCGATTCTCTTCAGCAACCTCGCTGCTGTTGCTCTCAAGCTTGACGATCCTCGTCAAGCCCTGCACTATGCCGAGAACGCGCTGCGCTTCGACGTAACCCACGTGTCCTAGCTGCAGGGCGGAGCCGTTGAGTCCATATGTCTTGGTTGTACAGTTGTATGTTTCAGGTGAAAGCGAAGGCGCTCTTCCGACGTGGCCAAGCCTTGCTGGCTCTGGGAGAGCACTCCGATGCTCTAGCGACGGCCGAGGAGCTGTTGAGGAAGGACCCAAAGAATCCCGAGGCTGTCGGCTTGAAGTCGGCTGCAGCGACGGCGATTCAGACAGCCAAGAAGAAGGAGAAGCTGCTCTTCTCGAAGATGCTGGGCTGAGCCAAAATGCCTGAGTTCTTCTGAAGAGCCCTGCGCCTGATGTTCGCTCACGAAGAGGAGTGTTCGACGCGCCGGCTGAAGTTGAAAGAGCATTCATTGAGTTATCCGAGAGTACACGTCGCGGTACCTTCTTCGAAGCATACACAACACAGATGCAGAAAGGTTCATAGTGCAGCATCTGACATAGTGAACACCCGGCCATCAGTGTAGGAATTTAAGTGCAATCGCACGGCTGGGCGTTCTGCTCCTGCCCGAATGGAGGTGCCGGGAAGCCCAGTCGCCGCAAATAGTGATCCACCCTGATACTCGGGATCTTTTCAGGCACGAGACAGGCCCCTTTCAGTTGTGTTATGTCGGTTTTCTGCCCAACAGTTGTGGGATGGTGGGGAGACAGTGCTAAACTGGAAGCTGTTGAGGCCATCGCATTGGCTGGTGCTGTACCGCCTGGCCATGACCTTCGTGACCATGGTCAGCTTCCAGGCAGAGAGCAGCCCGACCAGTTCCGGCCATGGACATGACATGACATGACTCGCAGGAGCTCTGGGGCATCGCACTGGCCATGCTTCATGTCTCAGCCTTAGAACTGCAGAGCAGCAAGGCGAAGCCGCAGATCTGTAACCAAGACTGAACCAACTGCTATATATCACTCGCCACCTATCGGAAAGCGGTTCATTGCATCAGCTTCAGCTTCGAAGCTCCAGGTGGCCCGTGACTTTGCCAGAGTAAGCTGCCAATACCTCAGATGATCCGCATGTTTCATTCTGTCCTGGCAGCTTCAACCGAACAGCATTCCGGTGCTGGTCCTGTGCTAATGCAGAGCAGACGGTGAAAGAGTCGTTGGCCCTTTGTCGAAGCATTTTAGCTGGCCCACTGGGGAATGCGCTGTCTCGGTAAAAGCATTCGAGACCGATCCACCGGTCGATGACGAGTTCTGTCAGTTGTTGTGTCAGAGGCAGTGACTCAAACAAGCATTAGCAGCTTCGCACACAAAACACGTTCCAAAGATGGCTTGTCAGCGAATGAAGCCTTAGCACGTCGGATGTCGAAGCTGGCCGCCAGTCAAACGCTCTACAGCGTCCTGGGTGTGAACCGACATGCCGACAACACTCAGATTCGGCAAGCTTACCGACACCTGGCGCTCGCCACACATCCGGATAAGGGTGGGAGTGCTGGTGAGTTCCTCAAGGTGGTGGAGGCCTTCGAGGTCTTGTCAGATGCACAGAAGCGTGCAACCTACGACGAAGATCTGCAGAGAACTGGAAGTCAAGACGGACGCGGTATTCAGGCAGCAGCTGACAGGAGGCAGGGCGGACATCAGCACGGCTTATTATATGGCATGCAGCCAAAGAATGAATACCCCCTGAACCGGTCACCCGCTGTGCTTCTGCATTCCCCACAAGGCGCGCAGAGGCCGACGCCGCACAGGCGCAAGCAGATGCCTTTGGGCTGCCGGACCTGGGTAGCTCGGAAGCAATGCTTCCGCTCGAGATCGACCAAACTTCACTTTGGTTGTGCCAGGTAAAACCGATCCGGACCAGAAGCCTTGTGAAGGCTGGGGCACCACAGAGGAGACAAAGCGAGCGAAGGCCCTGTGGTTAGAGCTTTTAGACGAATCGGCAAAAAGGAGAGCTGATACTCGGCAGCATTCTGAACATAGTTTGGCAAGCTAGTTGTTCGCAGCTTCTCAAAACTGGCTATAGTCCAGAAGTGGTTGAAACCTATAGTAAGTCTTTGCCCTAACATCAGCTCTTTGCCTTCACCTGTTGTCTCCATTGTTGTTCGCAGGAGAGAGTCTTGGAGCTGTCGTGCCGGGCGGCAGAAGTCCTGTTGGCATACGCCCGCTCCAACGCCTGCCTTGGAGGCCCTCAGCGCGATAGGTTTCTGCGGGCAGGGGGTTCCAAGAGGCTCACAGCCACCGGCGACTGCCCAGCAGGTGCTCCGATGGTGGGACTGGACACTGCCGGTGGTGCCATAACAGCATCCACAGAGGCCAGAAGCAGCAACAGTTCATCCGACATCGCACTCAACAGCCTCCGTGTGGTTCTCCTGAACCAAGTGAAAAGCCAAGCCATTTTCAAGATAAATCTCTCCAGCTGTTTATCTCCCACACCACATGCAACGTCGGGTGCCGGTCCAGGCCGTCGACGATGTCCGTGCGAAGGGCATGGTAGTTACAGAGGACGAGGGCTGTGGCACCTCCCTGCTCGCAATGCCTGGAGCGACCCAGGACGGAACTCGCTGACCGACTGCGAATCTGTTGGTGTTAGTCGCTTCGCCGAGTGGTCTCAGAACTAGAGTGCGTAGATTAAGTCAACCTTCAAGCCCCGTGCAGTTCAGGACAAAGGCCACGATCAACTCGAGCGTGGCGCGGACCAGCTTGAGCACCCTCCGAAACGTAGGCGCACAGGTGCGGAAGCGGTGCCATTTGCCAGCAAAGCCAAAAATGCTGGACATGGAATTCAATCGCTCTTCCCCTGCTTGCACGTGAAGTAAGGATCCCGGGCAGTGGTGGCTCCCGAGCTTGGATATGCCTAGGGAGGCTGAAGATATGCACAGGGGCCTCTGGAGATGTCGCAGAAGCAATCAACTGGCACATTCTTCTCATCAGAGTGAAGCAGCTGCTGCTTGACTCAACCAACGCGAGCTGCAAAGGCATTGCATTATCCGGCAAACCACAAGCTCCACATTGGCCCACTCTCGCATATAGATCCCTCCATCCACTTCATATCCAGGTTCAACGAGCTCACGGCTCGGGGTCAGTACTTTGCATTTGCAGTTCGTCGAGCGGTAGCTGCTGCTCTGGCCGAGAGGGATGCTGAAGGTGGCGGCTCAAGTTCCAGCATGCAAGCTTTCGAGCACTCACCTAGTCTGTGCGTATGTTTTCGAGTGATTTTGTGTGCGTGTGCGTCTTCAACCATGTGGTTGACCTGGTGGAGGTGGTGGTACGGACCCCCGGTTGCGATTCATCACTGAGTGCTCCATTGGGAGCGATGAAGTGTTGCTTCCTGGCTGAATTTGACGGGTCGCTCTGCACCTTGCTCATGCAGGTTTCATTTGCGCAGTTTCCCTCGTTGCCATGGTCACATGCAGCTCTCTTGTCATGAAGGATCATGAAGGTGCATGCTTTCAGGTTGAAATGCGCGACGCTCGGGGTCCTGAAGACTTTAGGGCATTCACACGCATACATGCATATTTTAATCAAACGTGCAAGCGTATATACATACTTGTGTATATACGTATATAATATATGTTCACATCAACATACGTAAATACACGCGTGCCTACATACCTACACACACGTACATGCCCAATACCTGCATATACTGCATGGACTGCCTACCTGCGTGCGTTGCCTGCCTGCATGCATGCAATGTACGTGCATACCTACATCACATATATTTGTATATATATATATATATATATAGGTATATGTGAAGAATGGACTCGGGCTGATTGATTGTGTGATGGTGCGCAATTTCAAGGTTTACTCCGGTGACGTGGGACTTGGAAACTGCACTGCGCCAGAACGAGGACGGTTTTTTTAAACTCTGCAATCTCCACAGTCATTAGTGGCCTAGGCCTGGAGCATGTTGCATTTGATATCGCCATTTGTCCGGTGCATGCAGTAGTAGCAGTCTGTAGCACTGTGCGGCCAGTAGAGATGCGGCACAGAGTCCGATGCAATACTTCATAAATGCACACAGGTGCCACGCACACTTGACCGCCTGGCGAGGAACTCTCTGTCCTTCTTGCTGCTTCTGCCTCGCGTGCGCAGCTTCTGTCAGCTATCCAAAGAATGACCGTGGCCTCAAAGGCTGGGTCTTTTCAGCATTTAATCTCACTCATGTCGTTTTTGCATGGAATGTTTCCTGTGCATGACTCCTGAGATTATTTTTCGCAACAGTCAACCTTCATAGTTGGTGAGTTCGTGCCCAATGTGGCACGTGCTTCTCAGTAGTCCATAATCCATAAGCCCAAGCATGTGGTACTTCCTTTTGTTAACTGTGGAACTGTTGCTGTTTAGCTGCTGTTTGCTGCCCTATTGCTGTTTAGGCAGGTTTAGGCTCTGGGTGTATGCTTTGTGGGTGGGTAGGGTAGCTGGGCCGAGGGGTACATCCCTAGTTTGCCTTTGCTGCTGGGTTTGGCTCCGGCTTTATGATGTTGTGGTGTGGGTTTGTACGGGTTGTACTTCGCTTGCAGCGGTAGTGTTAGTGGACCCTGTTGCTGGAAGCCTTCTTAGTGCCGAGTGTGAGCGTAGTCGAAAGCCTTCTGCGACTCCGGCCGTCGTGAGAGTCGAAGTTGAAACGGAATCGCAGCATGCTGCTGGCGAGCGGCGTGCCTGGGAGGCAGCCGAGGAGGAGCAGCGCGCCCTGGTCGACCGACTGGAGCTCGCGGTTTCTTTCTGGGGGTTGTGGCGTAGCCTGGTCGGAGGCATGAGCACAACCTAGCACTTCGCCCCAATTGTAAGCTGGAGAGCTTGCAAAGGCAGGTGCATGCTCTGTAACGCGCATCAGCAGGGGTCCTAACAGAACCAGAGGCCAGAGAGGGGTGGGGTTCGAGCTCGAAATGGAGGAGCAGCACCTGCGCCACTTCCAGCGGCAGCTGCGCTGGCGCGGCGGTACGCGGCCCCGGGGTGTCAACGCGAACGTCTGCCGCGTGGTGGGGCCCAGCTACCTCGCAGACAGAGGCTGGGGCGTGTTTTGAGTACATCAGTCCCAACAGTGTAAACCAAAATTCAGTACTGCGATGGCTCGATGAGTTTGCCGGGCTAGTCGTAGTCCCAAACTGGCTGTATCGATGTCAAGGTCGTGATGTGTTTTGCAGCGGAATCAGAATATGCTTGTTCATGAGCTAGTTCAGTTGATGCAGATAAACGTAGATGTGTGGATGGGCGAATATGCACGGCATATTGACGGATGGAAAGCTGGATCGGTGGAGAGACCGTGGAGCTCTGCGGCCCGAGAGTAGCATCCTGAAAGAGCAAATTTCGGCCATCCGGAAGTCTTCGTGACAGCAATGCCGGTAAGCCTCGTAGGCATCAGCCCGCGTTGATAATTACGCCGGATGGCAACTCAAGCTGGGTACTGTGCCCGCTGCACTTTCGTGCTCGGAATCGATTCTAAATCAAATCTTGCCTCAGCGGAGCGAGATTCGCCATCCACCTGAAGCCTTGAAGACTGCAGCCTGTTTGGTAGCAGGTCAGCCGGAAAAAGAGAGCAAGCAGCAAGCGTTTGCATATGCAGAGCTTTGGCACCAACGTCAAGGCTCGTTCGGTGTGTTTGCCGTTGAGGCCCCTGGGTGGTTTCCATTCGGTTGTTGCAGACATCAATGCGGCGGTTTTACACCCCATGGAAAATTTCGCATGCCTCGCGAGAACTGCGCCTGCTTTTTGGTAAGGAGCTCTGCAGAATCAAGTGGTCCAGTCAAAAGAAGGGAGCAAGCAATGATCGCAAGCCCAGCCTAATTATGCGAGCAATGCCGGTTCGCCAGTAAGAGCTTGTTTCAAGAGTTTCAGACCTCGCAGTGCGACGCGGGTATTGCACCTAATCAGCGTAACATTCTTCCTGCCAGCCGCGAGCTGCAGTAAGATCATGACGTAGTGCCCGGTCCTTTCGATGAGGTGCGCAGTCATGAGTAGAAGCCCTGAGGTGCATCAGAGCCCGAACAGCTGGAACCTCTTTGCCGCGGGCCGCGCCGGCGCCGCGCAGAGGAGGCTAAAGCTTTGAAATCTGAGTCTGCGACAGAGGATACTAACTTTTCCCGTTGTACACCTTTGCAGCCCCTGCGATGCCTGGTAGCCTGGAAGCTCACAGCAGACAGCAGGGCCGTGAAGTCTTTTGCAGATGGCAAGGCCTTGAAAGATCTTCGGGCACTGCAGGCACCTGCTCGGCTGGGGGTTCGCCAGCAACACGCAACATGTGATGAAGGCTGCGATATCTCAATCTAGAACTTTCCGTCGTCTGAACAATCTTTCCACACTGTGTGGTCGCTTCAGGTCGTGCCAGTTTCGTTTGTCCACAAGCTTGCGGATCCCGAAAAAGCAGCATCCGAATCAGGTGGCACAGTCGGCCGGCGGCAATGCAGCCGCAAAGGCAGAAGCCCGCAAGCTTTTCGAGGACGCCATGCGCGCCTCGTTGTCACCGCAGCCGCAGGATGGGCACGGCCGATGAAAACAAATCGTTCGCTAAGAAGCATGTGCGGTACAGCTCTGGGAGGCGACCAGCTGAGATGGGCGGGGTGGCGGCGGACCCCGGCAGCTTCTGAAATTGTGGATGATGCCTGGAAGAGACTGCTGCCCCCTTGGTGTACATAGCCGCACCGGCAACACGTCCCGAGAAGCCGTGCTCCTGAAGCCGTCGATGTGACTAAACAAAGAGAAGATGCTGTTTCCACAACTCGTCGCTGGGCACGGTTTCTTTGGAATCTGTCAGGCAGACTTGGCTGACCGTTGTTTCTATTGCGGAGACATTCAAATCAGTGCTAGGACCAGCTGCTTTCCAGCTCATCACTCAAATCGGCAGCGGCGGCAGCATCACCCCACCACGATAGTGACCAGCATCAGCAGGCTGCAAGACACAAGCCGCAGAAACAGCAGCAAGAATAAGGACAAGATCCAAAAGCGCACGGTGGCAGCGCAATCGTTTGAGGATAGCATCGAACTTACCTACCGTAGCTTGCATGCGCTTTATCTTATCGACGACGCCGCCATGATGATGATTGTGATGGTGATGATGGTGATGGTGGTGGACTTGCCCATGTCAGGGACTTCTCCTGCCTCCTTGGCTTTCCAGGTTGCATGATCGCTGCGGCTGCCCAAGCAGGCTGGTTTTTTCTTGAGAGCGCTGCACATGAAGTGTGGAGTTTGCGGTCTTCACCCAATCTCGAGGCATTCGTTCGAAGGCAGTAGGTCGGTGGCACTGAATGTGAGCATGGCTACTCAGGGCACCAAGTCTGACAGCCCTGCTGTTTGACCATTCAGGGACGTCTGGACCCGGGTCAGCCCCGGTATCGCTAAACAGGGATTTGGGGTAACGGATTTGTGACGGTACCAGGCTCCGCCAAAGGATTTTCGCAAGACGTGGAGGAAGAGGTGGCGACGAAGCGCAGCGTGTCCGGCCCTCGAATTGAAGCAATGCGGACGTTTCAGCTCGAACTTGCTGCCATATAACGTCCATCATGGCTCCCATGCAGCTGTGATGACACGAGCGTGTACAGCAAAGGACAGAAGTCCTCTCGACCTTCAGACTACATCCTGCATTGCTTTTTTTTCGCAATGCTCCTTTGAACGTCGTCAAGCATTTCCCAAGCCCTCCTGAGGCTGCTTTGGGCTTCAGTGATGGCTCACCCCTTACCACTCATTGCAGCTTGTGTCGTTCAGAAGCGAAGGAGGTGCACCGGCAGCGGAAACTGTCTCGTTATTGTCACACGATCGACCCGTTTTATGTTGCTGTGCCTGCACCACTGCACGGTAGCGGCAGTCGTGGGCAAGGTTCGAACATTTTCGAGTTACACAGGTATGGCGCCAGGCGGTAGGCCTCCGGGCAGGGATTGTCCGGACCCCCTAGACCCCAAGCCCCAAGCAAGCAAGCAAACGACATGGTAGCGGTACTTGCTACTTCGACCTGTCGGTCGAGAACGCGCCGTGTGCTTGGTGCCTTGGTGTCCAAGGTTTGGGTCTTCTGGGAGCTCAAACCTCAGACATGAGAGGCCCAGGTTGAATGATCAGGCAGCATTGGGCAGCTGCAGCGATCTACAGCCCATAGATCCCGTAAGCCTGTTCCAAAACCCTCTGCCATGAGAATTCGCTCGCCGAACGCAGGGTCCCGACAGGCTGCAGTAAGTGGCTGATGAGACCACGGTAGGGGACAAAAGATGCACGTTGAACCCGCAGCTGCTGTGTGGTTCCAGAGTTTTTTATCGGTTTAGTGACCATCACCCGCATATCGACGAAGAGATGTCGGCTGCATCCTCAGTGAGTGGTTTGCATTCCCTGGAACCACGGTCACCTGTGCGTGCTGCAAGAAGACTAGAGATTTCTCTTTGCGGTGTCAAGCTGCCAGTGAGGCAGAAGACAATCCACATCTGATGGTACAGTGCGCCGTGTACTCAAGCCGGTAGCTGGTAGCCCTTCAGCCCCAGTGCGGTTTGCATCTTCTCTGAGCAAGTGAATGTCTTCATAGGTTGATGAGAAGAATGTGTCTATCATCTGAACAGACTGAGCTGCCACCCCTCGAAGCTGGTTCAGAGGTTGGCGCCATCATCATGTTCTTCGCTGCCCGCATGTGCCACATAGCCTTCGTGACTTCCATTGATGCTGGATGCCTGGCCAGCGGATGTCCTGTGGTCGCTGCAGGGAGGTCGAGGTACACTTCAGGTACAGTTGTCACATAGTGCGCCAATTCGCAAAAAAAACTGCTAAGGTGTGGTACTCGTCCCCCGCGAACAGGCACAAGTACATCCGAGCCTTCAAGGACGCGGCCCTGCCGTCACAACCCCGCCNNCCCCCCCCCCCCCCCCCCCGATTCACTAGAGAACAAGTTGTGCTGTCCGAGTCGCAGGACCAATTCCGTGAAACTGGAAAGCCGGACTATACAGCTCCTTGCTGAGCCTTGTCGGTCGCCGGGGCTCGCGGAATTCCACACCATTCGCCCATTCCAAACATCCCAGCATGACCGAGATTTGGAGGTCTACTTGCTTTAGATGTTGTCGTGTTTTTGCGTTGTATTTTTTCTGTTTGTGGTCGGTTTTCTATGCTTTGCTCCTGTTTCCCCCTTCTACCTGCTGCTTTTTCTTGCTTGTATTTGTGCTGTGCCTTTCCGCTTCTTTGCTTTTCTGCTGTTCTTTCTGCCGTCCGCCTGTGGTTGCTTCTCGTTTTCTGCTTGTTCTTGCTTCTGCTTTTGCTTTTTTGCTTGTCCGCTTCTCTGCTCTTAGGCTTTGCTCTTATGCTCCGCCGCTTTTCTGCTTGTCCTCTCTTCTTGCCGTTGCTTTCTGCCCGTTCTTGCGTTTGTTTTTCGTTTTTGTTTCCGCTTCTCTGCTTCTTTGAGCCAAATTGAGGGGCTTGCTTAAGATATATGATGAACCGGAATCGCCAAATGACGGGGGCGTGTCTAAGAAATGTGATGAACCGGGATCGCCAAATTAGGGGAGGGCGTGTTGAAGATACATGCAGAATCGGAGTCGCCTATGATGAACCGGAATCGCCAAACATGAGGCGGCGTGTTTAAGATATACGATGACCCGCAATCGCCAAATGAGGAGGTGTGTTTAAGATATATGGTGAACCGGAATCGCCAAATGAGGTTGCGTGTTTAAGATATGTGATGAACCGGAGCTGCCAAATGAGGGGGCGTGTTTAAGACAGATGATGAACATGAACAGCTGGAAACTCGCGTGTGAAGATGCGAATATGCTGTAAGTGACAAGCTTTTCAAATCTGTTCAAGCTTCTAAAGAATCGCAATTGCTGAAGTTACAGCCTCGGCCTAAGCAGCTTCTGAACACGGCTCCCGGCTCGTGCAGCGAGCATCCTGTGCAAATAATAGGATGCCGGGACCACATTTGCACCATGTGCTGTAAATAACAGGATGCGGGGAGTTACCACATTTGCACCATGTGCTGTAAATAACAGGATGCGGGGAGTTAGGCAAAGTGTGAAGAAAAG